ATTTAATATTCCATCATAAATATCTCAATCCTTATATAGAAAAAGGTCATCAATACTTAATAAAAATAATTTGAGCTAATATAAAAATTATATTGTGTTCTTATAAAGCATTTAACACAAGAAAATTGTTTAAAACATGCATAAGCAACAAATGAAAACATAACTAAAATCAAACAATCAAGATTCATTTGACAATAATGATCTTACATCAACCTTCAAAAATAAGTCTTTATCCCGATAAGTGGGGATCTTTTGTCAACCTTGACAAAAGAAAAATAAATAGAATTCTTGTTGGGATAATTTTTAAAAAATTAATTTCTAAAATCATATTTTAATCAAATAATTTTTTTTAAAGGAGTTAGTCGCCCAAAATTTTTTAGACAATTATTTATTTTTAGAAATTCATTTTTTCATAAATTTCAAGCTTTCTATTTGATTAAATACTAATAAATTTCAAAGTAAAATACTAAACATAATACATATATTGTTTATTTGATTAATTTATTTATTTATTTTAATTTATTTATGCTTTTGTCTAAATATTTTTTAGCTTCTAATGAAGTATTAAAGAATTTATAATTATATTGTTATATTTATTTTTACTGCTTTCTTTCAAACTATATTATTTGAAAAAATATTTAGTAAAGTTCTTTTAATATCCCTTTTTTTTTAACTTTTGATGCTTGATTTAAAATAATAAAGATATGTAAATTAACTGTTTTGGATCCCAACATTTAGAAACTTTAAAAAAGTTTAGAAAAGAGTACAAAAAAACTTAAAATCAAATAATAAAAATAGTGATTCCTATTATTATTATTATTACACTGCAAACTAATTAGTAGCTAGTAATGATAACTTCTTTGTTGGGCCTAGCATTTTGTCCACAAGTATAACAATTTAGGCTCCTTGTTGGCCCTTTCCAAAGCCTAGGATTTCTATCATATTATAAAATCTTGAGTACCTTAATAAGTTATATTACGTAGACACGCACGCACACACATACATACATACATGAAATTCATAAATATTACACGAATTCCATTAATTTATTTTCAAATTAAAAAATATGCTGAAGAAATTGTTTTATAAAACTAAGAATATAATATAATTATAAACTAATATAATAATAAGCTAGAAGCTAAAAAATATGAAAGCAAAAACTTGAAATAAATGTAAAAAATTAAAAATATAAATAAATAAACAAAATTTATTAAATCATGAAAATAAAAAAATTTAAATATTTTAATTTTAGGTTTAAAATAATTAAATTTATAAATACTAAATAAAATTAAAACTAGAAATAAATAAAAATTTTGAATTTACAAAAATACAATAAATACAAGATAAAAAAATAACTTAACAAGTCAGGTGGCCATCGAGGAGAGGAGCTAGTTGCCAAAATGTTGGGTGATTAGCGCGATATAAAATTCTTTATTTAAAATTTTTCTTTCATTTGAAAGAAAATTAGAAAACTCCATCTATCAAAATTGTCTAAATTTGTAGTTTCCATTTGCAAGTTGAGAACAAACCTAGGTAAATGATTAAGTTGGAGGATCATGACCTAAAGGCCATTGATTCAAATCACTAAAACCACTCATTTCTAATACAAGAGTATGGCTAGGGGTGTCAAAAAAAACTCGTTATTCGCGAACAGCTCATGTTTGGTTTGTTAAATAGCTCAGGTTCAATTCATTTGTTAAGCACGCGAGCCAAACACAAATAATTTTTTTGAGCTCGATTTATATACGAGTCAAACACAAACAAAAATTTATTTGTTTCAGTTTGATTGTTTGGTTGTTCGATTGTGTTCAACTCGTTTTAACTCGAAATAATTAAATAGAAAAAAAAAATATTTTTTATTATTTTTTATATTAATTTTTTATATGTATTAAAAAAGTTAAATTTACTTATTTTTTAAAAATATTTTGGTGTTATATTTATTAAAAAAATAAGTTTAGGTGTTAGATATGTAAATAAATAAGACTTGGGTGGTATGTATGTAAATTTCTCTAAACTAAAGCATTAGTGAAATCTCTTTTTTACTTAGGAATTATATATGTAAATACATATTGTTACTGATATGTACGTAATGCAGTGAGATTTTATCCAAAAAAAGTCCGTAAGTGGGCCTTAAGTTCTACTTTGAATAGTATATATAAATACATAAAAATTTGGTGGTACATAAATGGCCCCACAAGCCATAATTCCACCCACTTATCTTTTATATTTAGGATCTATTTGGGGCAGCTGCAGCTTATCCAATAAGCTGGTTTGCAGCAGCTATTCGAGGAAGCTGATGCAAGGAAGTTGTTGTGGAAAAGCTAACTGTTTGTTTGTTTTTTACGATTTGAAAACAATTGAATGACAGCTATCTCTGGAAAAATGATCATCCTGTCCATGTGAAGTAATATTATTTGTAACAAAAGTGTCAGTCATACATTTGATACTTGAACAATCTCGTGAATTAATTCATCTGATTGAATTGCTGACTAACATTCCATAAGAGTACTTAATTAATACATTTTTTTAAATATTAATTATTCTATTAAATTATTTTACTAATTACAATTATATATCATAATTAAATTAAATTACCTTTTCAAATATCTAATTAGTTAACATTCTTAAAATTTTCGTAAACATCATTTAATATTAATTAAATAGGACAATAACATGTAATAATTAAAATAAGTATTCATATCTGAAATTTCATTTATGTTTCCTCTATCTTAGCTTCTTCATTAAACAAATACCCTAAATTTTGTAAGAATTATCATTCGGTTTCTAAAAATTAATTAAATTCATTAAGATTTACATTCATAATCCTAATAATTAATAAATAGTTGAAATTTCAAAATATAAATTTTAAATCGATTAAAGTTAATAGTTAATCTTACCTTATAATAAGAATGTGCATTGTCCTCAAATATACGAATCGGGCATACTCCTTCCTCCGCGAGTCGCACCCCATGGAGAACCCACCTCTGCAAGTCACACAACAGGGTTGTCGCCTCCTTTCTCTGTGACTCGCACGACATGGTACCCACAAACTTTTCTTCCTCCCCAAGCTCTCAGCTCGATCCTACAGGCTGCAAGAGAGGGGAAAATTGCAGCACCTCTCCTCTCTGCGAAGAACGTGGGCACCGAAAGCCTTGACTGATGCGTACGAGCGAATGGCAGAGAAGCGACGTCGAACAAAAGGGGTAAAATTTGTAAAAAACCAACCCTCGAACACGGACCACAGAGCTCTAGTGGGACGCCGCTCTCTGGACGTCATCCCAAACGACCAAAATTCGCAGCAGCTCCCCGCATCGCAATCTGGACGCCGAACCAAACAGAGCCTTAGTCCCACAATGCCTCAACAGAAAGGAATCCCCATTAAAAATCCTATTTAATGATTTTTATGTCGCTTGTGTTTATGAAGCTAGAAGCAAATCAGATTTCCAAATTTTGAAAATATTTTAAAATAAAAGTTTATTTCTACCCAAACTAGCTGAAATAAATTTAAAAAATTAAATATTAAAATTTAAAAAGCTCAAAATCAAGCAAATTATCAGCAAATTTGAACAATTTTGAGCTATTTTGAATATGAACTTATTTCAAATATAAAATATGAAAAATTTTAAACGAGCCGAACAAAAAAAAGTTTTGAGCTCTCCCATGTCAAACATAAAAAAACAAAAAAATTTAAACAAGCCAAACAAAAATAAGTTTTAAGCTCGCTGATGTTCGGCTCATTTACAAAAATAGGTATGGCTGCATGCACCAACCTAACCAAACCCTACACTAGCAAGAGTTTTACGCATTGAGTTGCAATTTATATGCAACAGTACATAGTGCTTTAAGTTTTGATGCTTAATATTCTACTATGTAAAGAGTTGAAGGAATCATATATGTACTGATTAAACTATCTAAACAAAATATATTCAAGATAACGGACAAAAAGCTATGGTCGCGTTGTTAACAATGGTTTGGAGTAATGCATGTATTATTTTAAGGTTGGGGCATTTACATACATAGTACACAGTTCTTATGTATTTACATAAAAAATTTCATATTTAGACGCATTGCACTCAAATGTTTAATATCACATCAAAAATACCACTATTACTATTTTTAAAAGGTGATATACACTTTTTCATGTATAGGTTTAAAGCACCAAAGTTGTGGAATAGAAAGGGATAGGAAAGTTAAAAGAAAAAACAAAAAGGCCTTAGGAAGTTGTGAAATATCAAGGAACAAATATGCGAGGTTGACGGCATTTGGAAGAGGATAGGCATCGATCCAAGGCTGCCTCGGTTGAAAACAGCAAAGAGGGCTCCAAAACGATGAAATCCGATAGTCGAGGAAGGTCCAACACCTGTTCCTGAATAAGACACGGACACACCACTTGCAAAAGGAAAGAATAAAGCAATACAAAGAGCATAAAACAGAGAACAATGTCTCCCAAAACAATAACAATCACCAAAAGACTGTAAAACAAGAATACAACAACATATAAATAGTCTCTCAAACATAAAAACCCTAATTATAATTCAAGAATGTGATAAATTTAGGCGCCACAATGTCCGGCAGCAACAATAGGCAAGAAATCTTTTTTCATAGTATAATAGATGGAATTCAGTTTATCACGTTTGCAGGATCGCGTGAATCATGAAATCCTGTGATTCCGGCTTAGTTTCAGGTTCCTATCACATCTCACATCAGCTATGCATGTAATTATGAAAGTTTAGGTGTGAGATATGTAAAAACATAAGAATTGTGTGTTACGTTGCTTCGTAGTCAAGTTATTCTTTTATCCCCTCCCGACGAACTAAAAACATAAAACCAAAATCCCTTGCTTTCGATCATCCATGACAATACCGTAAAACTCCCCCTTTCTTGTTTATCAAAGAATCATGTTCGCCGCAATAAAGTTTCCTATTTTACGATCAATAGTTAAATTTTGCATGGAAATGGCTTGCGGGCAAAGAGCTAAGTAGAAAAGGTTAAGTTCTTACATCATTATCAGTTCTATATCTCCGTCCACAGGTAGCGCATAGCAGACAGATAGTTCATTTGGAGCACACAGACAATTTTTCTCCAGTGAGTGAAGTTCTCCCATTAGAGGACGGCTTGAGATCAGTTTGAAGCCACCAGCAGTCTTCTTAGATATGTCCTTCAAGCATTTTTCAAATGAAAGATCTGTCAAAAACATGATAAGCTAAAAGTGGCGTGAATGGAAATTTAATCCTAAACATCAAAGGCCATGAAAAGAGACAAAATCAAGCAGCATAATATATTCTATTTTGAGAATCCAACGAAAAAAAACATGACACATGTAATTTCTAGCCCATATTTGTGGTTGCCATAAAGTCCTTTATTCTGAATATGTAAGAGATAGTTTTACAGCTGCTTGACTCGACAAAATGGCTTCAAGTTGGTTGACTTGAACGAGTCCATGGAACTTTTTTTCACATTTGACTTAAAGATAAAAAGCCCAAATTTCTAAGCTGAAGTAGTTCTTAAGAAATATTGGTTAGGTCTAAAGCAAAGCCCAAAATATTCCATCTCGACGTGGACAATGGAACTATGAATGTGGATTAGACAAGATGAGTTAAAATACATAAACTGGATGCTTTCATGTGCCTATATATTTAAGGCAAAGTTTTTATAGCTTAGGACTAAGCGATATTGATATATATAAAAGATAGAAAAGAAATTTGATATTTCCAGAACTATTTGGATACTAGAAGTTCTGAATTGTGGGATATACTGAATAACCCAAAAGTAGGGGGTTTGGTGCAAATACCACCTGAAGCTAAAGAGCCTTAAAAAATTATTCGTCTAAATGGTTAATACTTCTCAGGGAAGCATGACTCATAATTCAAGAGAGAAGAAAGCCATGTTAAGGGAAAGCTTAAATGTTAGGGCTAAATAACATATGGAAGAAAAAAGGCAACATATATTAAAAAACTGTAATGGAGAGAACAAGCAAATACCACGTCCTATAGGCAATGTTATGTCGTCCATGCAACAGACAACAATTGGGTGGGTGCTAACAAATAAACTAAATACCCTAAACCCTAAACCATGATATCTAGATGAGTGATTGCATGGAAAATATGATTAGTTTTTATACACTTTATGTTCACTGCGCAACTTCAACTTTATCCCGAATTCTCCTATCTTCCTCTGACTCTTTGTGCAATGGTCAAATTTTATAATATGAGAATGAATAAATCAAAGAAAGTAATATAGCCTATAAATAAAGATATAAAAAAAAGCAAAAAAAACTTGTGTGAATTGACAAAATTTGCCTGCGTTTATGGCTACATTAAGAAATATTTCACTAGCACCATAATGAGTGACATGAATACAACATTTTTAACAATCAAATAATTTTAACAGATTTACCTCTCAAGCTTTTTATATCTACTTTTACATTTCCTCTTTCTACAATTTATTTTCCAATTTAATCTAGGGACTCAAAAAATTGCCAACCTAAGAAACCACCCAAACACAACATAAAAAATTTGGGTTAACCTGATTAGTAGTTAGAATAGATATCTAACTATGATTGGGGTCGGAATCAAGTTGACCCAAATAACACAGTCAAATCTAATTTGACACGATTATTATCAGGTTCAGTATATGTTCAAGCCTGTGAACTGTGAATAACCTTGTGTGCATAATTGTATACATCTTGCACTAAGGCTCTATTTGGGGCAGCTTATCCGCTGCAGCGGTGTTTTGAAAACACCGCCTCACCATTTAAAAACTGCGTTTGAGCAGCTTATCCTAAAACGCAGATGATTTTTTACACTAAACGCGGAACCCGCGGTCTGCGTTTCCAGATAAGCGGCTTATCTGGATGAGCACAAGCTTCCCCAAAAGCACTCTAAAGCAATCATGCATCAAAAACCATTCTCAAGTGACAAAATGACTTTGAGGCCTCATTTCTTTTTCAATGATAAGCTTAATATATATCTAAAATTAAAAAGCACTTTTTAGGATCTTCAATTATTTCAAAGGACAATAGTTTTCATACTTGTTAATGGCGAATAGCACATCATAGCACAAAAGTCTCAGCAGGGTCATAGCGTATAGTGCATGACCTACTTCATCAAGGATCAAAATCTGCCAAAGTCAAATTCCCAACTTGTCAAAAAATACATTCCAATGTGCGAAGTTTACCACCATTTTAACTTCTGCCAACAACAAAAATTCAATGAATGCCAAAGAATAGACATTTGATATCCGCAAAACACAAACATTTAATTAAATTAGAAATTAAAATGGCATGATAAAAAAATGGCATTAATAATATTTAAATTTGAAAACTCAATACTTCAATTACTTAAAATTTAAAATATAATTATGATCGTTTTACAAGTTTAATATTGTCACAAGCAATTAAACTAGTGAAACAAAAAATTGTCATCATCATCATAAGAAAGTATTTCTCTATGATGCGCTATGTGCTACGACTCAGAGACCTCTATGTTATGATGTGTCATTTGCAATTGACGAATACGATCCAAATACAAAAGTAGCATTTAAAACAATGCAATATCTTATAATTTGCATATCGGAAGAAGTCAAAAGCAGAGAAGAACTCAAAATTTTATAATAAAGAATATCATAAGACGCCAATGCATATTATAAATAGAATACCAGAAACAAATAAACTTGCAAAGAGTAAATATATAATGGATCGAAAAATCATGTGACTAATGTTTTAATGCAAGTAGTTGAATATAGAATCAAAAGATCGATCAAATGGGAAACCGCATAACGGAGAATTCCATAAAATGAGAGAGTACGACAACCTATTCTCATAGAAACATTATAGATATTATTCAAAGGAAAATTAAAAAATATTTTCTAAAACAAAGGAGAAAACTACTATAACAAAAAGAAACATTCAACTTATAAATTTTATCATTCAAGTCACAAATCTTGTGATTATGATGACTATAAACCATGACATTTACATCCACCACCTCCCTTAATCCTTTCAAAAATCCCACGTATCTCAACTTCAAACAACTTTTTTCATTTTTTGGAATAAAAAGTTACTGAAACTAGCCTTAAATATTTGTCCCTTGCATATTTATAAATACAAATTTAAAAACTCGATTTTTTCTCATGTAGAAACATTCAATTCATAGGAATCTTCTTGTCCTCAAACTATCACCATGTTTATGCAAGTTGCATAATCATTTTAAGAGAATTGAAAGATAATTAAGGTAAGTTGTCATCATTAATCTAGTGCTCAAAAATGTTTGATATGGAGCGAAGTTTACTGAGAATGTACAAGAAGTTAGAATCAATAACCATTTCAGTAAAGCAAAAAACGATCAAAAACTACAACAATAGAGATGTTTTGGCTATTATCAGAAGTAATGCCTAAAAAAAAAGGAATAGTTGATAGACATAGATAATATCAATTCTTAGTTAAATGCATTCTACAAGCTAGATGGTTTCAAGCATTCAAAAAAGACATTATTTAACATATAACCAACTAAATTGCCCTTTGTCCTACCACCTTTCTTGCTCTTGTAGAACTCTCCATAGTACATAAAATGCAAGTAGTTATTAACCATTGGTTTTAGCTTTACATTAGTTTCCAAAATAATAAGCGAGAAAAAACTCCTTGGAATGAATGCTCAGATAATGCATCTTCGCATTTTACCTCTGGCATAGCTCGCAAAATCAACACGATCAAGCATGAATTCTACACATTATTCACATTCAACTCACTCAAAATTTAGTTCGGGAACTTTGGAATTTAGTTCAGAAGGAACTCAGGCGGTGATTCAAGTAAAGTTAAAGTTAAAAAAATATTTTTAACAATTTGAATCCAATGGATATAAATCCATGCATTTTAAGTACATTTGGCCCCTAAATTAACAAAACTAAATTGAATCAGATCAGTTTGCCAAATTCATGAGACAATGAGACCCACAAATGCAAGTCAAAGGGTCGCTACAAGTCGCAACCCTTCCCAAACTCCTACAATTGTGAAAATTCTAAATCTACACTTAAATCACTTTGTGGTGCTTTGATGCGGACAGAGTGTTGGGAAATTATTACAAATTTAAACTTCTTGAATCCATTATAACTTCTACAAGCAACAAATTCAAAAGTTTTTCATGGTGACAGATTACTCTTAAGAAGGAGAATATTTCATCATAAAAATCACAAAAGTTCCATCACCATTTTTTATAGAACCTAAATTTGATAACAACATTTTATCAAAATTATGGCAAATCACACGGAGATATATTGGTAAATCATTAGCATCATTTGTTTGCTCTTATCTAAACAAACAAATACATGCCAAAATTATGTCGATTCATCGTCATCTTCCAGTGAAGATAAAGTTCAGCCTTTGCTCCAAATTTTGTTCTAGACAGTTTATTTTGGGATTTTTTATCTGTCAACCCATAGCACTATTAGTGTCAAGGGCTTCTAGGCAACACCTTTTGCTTCTTCATTGGAGAATCAATTACCACCAGCCACGACAAAAGCACCGCCAATTGCTGCCCGATCGATTGTCTCAATCATGATGTGGGTAGCTCAATAAGACAAGCACATGGGCAACAGCACCTAATCACTTTTCAAACAATTGAGGGTCAGATTTGTTGTATTCGTTGCTAATAAGAAAGAAAAATATTCAAGAATGATTTAAAATATGACCAACAATCACCCTTAAAATCTAAAAATAGATTGAATTTCTATTGATTTTATCATATCAAGAACTATGCCACTCAAGAATCATAAAGAACTTGAAAGTCTTAATAGCTTCTAAAGCCATCAACTGACCACCCCGATGCTCAAAACTCTCTAAATATCTACCGACTATTGCTGATCTACCTCATCATGGAACAAAATTCGCCAGAAGTCCAACTCCAAACTTGCCAATGTGTACTTTTTAATGTCTGACATTCACCACCATTTAACTTATGCCAAAATAGACATTTGACGTCCACAAATCATACGCATTCATTTTTTTCCTGGCATGTCCACCCCAACCCTACCTCTATAAGGAGGGGATGAATAGCCAAGCCGCCTACTAACATCTAAATTTGTTAAATTTTTATGTCCACCAACAACAAATTTCCAATATTCATTAACTACCAATGTTTGACATATGTTTCATGCCAAGTAGCTGAATGCCCTTGTTGCAAGACAACGAGGCCGAACACCTTCAAACATCAATGATTGCCCTTCAGTGGCATTGGATGTCCATGAACAACATGTTGGCAATCAACCAACTGCTATCAACAACCAAATCCCGACATTTTTCCTTGTCCAACTTTCGATACTTGTCGGTATCCATCATAGACATCCACCAACCCACAATCCTAGTTATTTTTCAGCCAAAGTCACCCAACATCTGCTAATGTCCTGCTTCCTATACCAATCATGTCCTATTGCCACCACAAAAAAACATTTGTCTAACAAAGTTTTCATCTGCACAGTTAAAAAAACATTCATCAATGTCCTACGCTAAATATCAACCATCACCTTCATCAACAAGACTGATCGACCATAATCCTCTGTCAACATCGCCACCTCCTGCTACAAAATCGAGAGACAATGCCCAGCTAAATTTTTACAAGGTATTATTGGCTCTAAAGTTGGAGAAAAGAGTTAATCATTTTAATCTCCAAGCAAGACCAGTGGATCTATTATGATAGAGCAAAGTCCCATAGGTTTTTCATATTCAAGTATTCCATTTAAAAATCTGTGTGTCTGCCATATCGGCATAAACTTTTATCTGTGTGTGAATATCATCGTGCAGCCTAAGATATAGTTCTAAATCTCTATAGCCATAATTTTCCTAGCAAATCACAAACTCTAATCAAACATGCTCAGAAATCATACATATCCCCTTCTACCTCCCTACATTATAATCTTTCCAACAAAAAGCAAAATACGTTCACTTTTTTTAATTCTCTTCAGTATCGCAGAATAAAATTGAAATTCAAAATGCAGCATATGAGCTCGAGATTTCAATTGCAAATCCAGTTATCGCAGAGCTCGACACAAGAATCACAGCATTCAATGTAAGAGATAATACTGTGCGCAGAGAAACTAATCGAATCTTAAGCGAAAAGAAAGCTGAGAAAGCACAAGAGGAGCACCATTGACGGAAGGAGGAGATGTAGTTCTGATTGCCTGGCGAAGAATCGCCCACCGCAAAGAACCTCGAGATGGAGCAGTAGCGGCTCGAGACTTCTCCATCCTTGTCGGTGTGGCTTCGCCTCTAAAACCAGTTGAGGGTTTTTGGGTCGGAGCACACTTCCGAGGGGAACCGCAACTCAGAATGTACTGCGTGCAAAAAAGCAGTTCAGTCGATGAATCCTTTAAACCAATCGGAACTAATATTTATAATCTACTGAAATTTTAACTCATTTTTATATTTTTATTTTTATTTTTATTTTTATTTTTACTCAAATCTTAAATACAATATTTTAATAACTTTTTCATTGGAACCGATAGCTTTTGGGTGATAAATTGTCATAATTAAGGTTTTTGGTGGTTAAATTTTATAATTAAAATATAGATTATTATAATGTTATATTAAATATTTTGGGTGATTGATATGAAAAGTCCTTTTTTTATTAAATTAATATTTTATGTAATAATATATATTTGAATGACATGCCTAATTGGCTAACTCTGTAATTATGAATAGGGCTGTCAAAACGGCCCGTTGCTCAAGAACAGCTCTTGTTCAGCTCTTTCAGAAGCTTGTGTTCGGCTCGTTCACTAAGCTAACGAGTCGAACACGAACAACACGAACAAATATTTTGCAGAAGTTTGCTGTGAGTCCTCTTGGCAATTATATATATATCTTTGATGAGTAGCTTTTTTTTTTAAATTTAGTTGACTACAAGGCTACAAAGATTTATAATCAATTAAAAGTATATAATAAGATTTATAATCAATTAAAAGTATTAATAAAGAAAATATAATAAAAATTATTAAATTAGATTCAAATGATGTTTTAAATCTTGTCACAATCCTTAACATTTGTTGGCTACATGATTAGGGTTGTCAAAATAACTCTTTGTTCGTGAACAGCTCGTGTTCGGCTCGCTAAGTAAACGAGCCGAACACGAACACGCTATTTTAGCTCAAGATATAAATGAGTCGAACACGAGCTGAGCCTAGGCTCGTTTACACCCCTAATTATGAGAAGTTGATTCATTTATCTTATGAAAAATTATAAATTTGTATGTTGCATCATATTCTTCCTATTCTTATATCATTTTATGATGAATTTTAAGTATAAATGAGTTAATTCATTTTAATTTATCAAGTTTTAGTCAAAAATATTCCAATATTTATATTCTCTCCAATAATAAGAGTAATCAAAATGTGATAATATTTATGAACTATGTGTTAGAGACATAAATATTGGATGATATAATCATTAAAAAAAAATCTTAAATTAAATTTCATTAGAAATATGTAGTCAGCCTTTGGTATTCATAAATGATTAAATCCTCTTAAAAATTACATGTCATGTAAGATCAACTTACTATACCAATCAAAGCTATTTTTAATATATTTATCTATAAATTAATATATATTATTCTAGCTATGGTTCGTTCTCTTATTTATTATGCAGTTCTTTATATTTGACAAATACACGAGCGAGCACAGAGATATACTTACAAATAGAGGCGGACCTAGGTTGGGTTCGAGGGGCAACAAACCTCCTTGAATTTCGGAGTTTAAAATAACGAGAGTGGCGCTTCCATCGTTTGTCCACCCAAAAATATTACTTTGCCCCCGTATCCCTTTCCTCTTCCACACATCGGCAGTGAAATCTTGACAGGGCACAAAGGCAAGTAAACAATTAGGAAGATGGAAATGTGTGAATGAGGAAGAGGAGATCATGGTCATTGAGATGACTGGCAGCAGGGTGACATTGTTAATGGAGGAGCCGGCGGATGAGTTACTCGTGTTAGTGGCATGGTTAATTATGAATTACTTATGCCTTCAAGCGAAGCTCTCATTTGATGAGATTAATAAGTTTAATATATCGTATTGAGAAAATGAATGACTGGTCCATCAGTACATCTAGTAGTAAATTTACACTTAAATTTTATGTTATTCTTATGTTTATAATGCATGGGAAAATTTTGGGAAATGGCCCATTAAAAAAAATAAAGGAAGATTTACTTACATATCACTCAATTCTAATGTATTTACGTATCTAACACCTAAACTTCAATTTTACAAAGATACCACCTTATATATGCATGGAATGGTGTACATCACTTTTTTAAAATTAAAATATTGGTTTTTTTTATGTGCTATGAAAGATTCCATTGATATAAATGTGTTAGATATGTCAATACATAGGAATTGGGTTTCATAACGAGGATTATCATTTCGAAATTATTTCATTTTTTTGTGAATCATAATCTTTTCCCTCAAAAAAGATGTTGGCTCTGCCCCGCACACAAATAGATATAGAGACATATACACACATATATATGCATACATATATAGACCCATATATATACACACATATATAGACATCCAATATATAGACACACACGCACGCACACGCACACACACGCACAGGCACGCGCGTACACACACGCACGCACGCACGCATGCACGCACGCACACACGCACATGCACGCACACACGCACGCACACGTACACGAGCGCGCGTGCGCACACACACACACATACGCGTGCGCACATATGTAGACGCGCGCGCACACACACACATGCACACATACGCGTGCGCGCACATGTAGACATACACACACACACATACGCGCGCATATAAGATACAAATATAAAATTTTTCAAATAAATTACAGGAAAAATATTAACTTATTGAAAAATCATTAAAAATTATTTCATTACACCCTACACTTTTAAACAATCATGTTGATATGCATAAGTTCTAAATGTTATTATCAAAGATTAAGAAGTTGTGGAATTGATTTTTATTTCGATTAAATTTTGTTAAAGTTTTATTTTCATCGTGTGTCAAAAGATTTGAGTAGATTAAGTAATAATTTAACATTTTAATGTTGCTCGAAGATCAAGCCCACACAGATGAAAGAAAAATAGCACGAGAGAAAAAAAAAATTCGTGAAAAACCCATGGAGATTAAAAAAATCATGAGGTTGAGCTCAGTCAACTTAATCCACTATATATTTGTAACTACAGTGGTACATCTTTTCTCTCAACAAGGAGTACAGGGTTACAATCGTACATTGAAAACTATATTTTTCATTATATGGCTAAAAAAATATAAATATTAGTAAATTTAACAACAGTTGCATTCTGGCTACAATGATTGCAAGCAGCTAATACTGATGGCTGGTGGTCAACGAAAGCAAGTGGTGACGGCGGTCGGCGGCTGATGGCCTGCAGTTAGTCCTCGGGTCTTCTCTCAAGAATATGCTCTAGAATTTCACTTCTCACCTTTCTTCCCTTCACCTGTAAGTGAAGAGATGGGTCATATTTATAGCTTTTTTAAGAGGGACATTTATATATAATTTATAGATTTGTTGGCGTATAATTTCCCCAACCACCTGAGTAGACGGTCTACGCTGATCCCCTTTGATCACATGTAACTTTTTGAAGTATTAAGGAGTCTTAAATTCCTCAAAATTGAACAATCTTAGACTCGTTGGATTCTTCTCGTCGAGACGCTCGATTCAGCTATAAATATATATCAAATTTAGAGTTCATTTGACAATTCAATTAACAATCCAAAACCTCTAATTATGTTTCAACTACTTCATCTCGGAACCAAGAATTGAATTAATTTTAAAGTGGTTGAGTTCATCTTGCCAAGTGGCTCAATTTAGTCATAAATTTGATGAAAACAGAGCTCATATGATCATGAATTTATGCTTGGAAATGTTTTTTGCTCAAAGTACATTAGTTGGATAATTTAAATGAATTCTAAAACAAAAAATAAATTTTATTTAATCTCTTGCATGTATATATATA